ATTCGACCCGACCAATCAGCACTCCCCCTTTCCCACCCCCTAAACATCAAATTATCCCTAAAACCCTGATCCCCCAATTTTGGGGGAGACTGATTTGAGTAATAATAAATCTCCAGTCTCCCATACAGCCAGCTCTGTGTGAATTAAACTCTTTATTGCAATTCCCCTGTCTTGATAAATCAGTTCTGTCTAGGTAGCAGGAGAGGTGAGCCTGTTGAGCAGTTCCAAGTTGAGAGCAGCTACATGAATCAAGAAGTGAGTGAGAATGTGAATTCAAGAAACTGAAAGAGGGAGGGAACCAGGAAAAGCCGAAGCCTCTCCCACAAATTCCAGAGCTGTGAGTCGGGGAGAGAGGGCACTGGATTTCCTGCCAAATACACAGAGGGCTCAGCCATCTTTCATAGGATGCCAGAGGGAGGATGTGTCCCTGGGGCTGGGGCACTTGGGGACTGGCTGCAGTCCATATAGATGGCACCCCTGGAGCAGTGCAGGGCACAACCTGCAGGGCCACATGTAGCAGCCTGTTGGGGACATCCTGGTTTCAAGCATCTTGTGGCTATTGGGAGCATTTATGTCAAAGATAGAACATTTTGAGCAATGCACAAGGAGGAAAAGAAGGAAAGGAAAGGGCATAGTTTCTTCTCCCATTCTCTGCCTTAAAGAGGAAAGGGAGGAAGAAACAAGCAGAACCTATATTGAAGTCATTTTGTGCTTCCACAAAAGTACTGGAATGGATTCATTTCCTCCAGGAAAAACAGGAAGGTGATTCCCCCTATGTCCTGCCTCAGTGTTGAGAAACACATGTTAAGATGAAGTGGGGGCCCATTTTGCATCCCCCACCCCCGCTATCCAGCCTACAGATACTGTGCCATAGAGCCTTCCTTTGAAGGCAGACTGCACCCCACATCTGCCTGTATCCTGCAGCTTTGGTGCTAACCATTGCATTTCAAGAAAGACACCATTGACAATATCAATACAGTGAGAAGCATTTTCCAAACTGTGTTACAGAACACCAGCTTTGTGAGACGCGAATGAGTTTAGGCATTGCTAGGATAACCAAAGCTAAGCATGTGTTTTTATTGCAAGCCTTTGCTCTGCTAGCACTCATCATGAATTTCCAAAACAGGGAAAGAAGACATGTATGCAGTGTTTGCCAAGGTCTAACTACAGAGGCCAGTCTCTTTTTGTTTGTTTGGATACTTGCTACTATCTTACAGAACCAGAGATGTTTACACAGAACACAGTTAGATACAGAGGCACACAGTGATACTATTTAATAAGTAATACTATTTAATATCATTTCTGACTATGTCATATACATTGTCTGGTTTAATCTTCCTAAAGACCCTTTGAAGTTAGTTCTATCATCATCCTCACTTCACACAGGAAGGAACTGAGTCCCAGAAAATTTCCATCAGTCCCACAAGGCCACACTGGCAGATGAAAACACAGGTCTCTGTGACTCTATGCTCTTTTACCTCAATGTTCTACTGAAGCCCACAATAACTGCCATATCAAGAAAGAGTTAGGAGTTGAATGAAGAAGGAGAGACAGCGGTGGGTTTGCTGAGCTTGGTGGTGACATTTTGAATGACATTGTTGAGAACCATCACCAAGGCTCAGAGAGAGCAAAAGTTGAGAAGCCCACATTTGTGTCAGGACAGGAGTAAGAAGCAGGAGTTGGTGGAATTTCAGGCCACCCTTCCCAAGAGTTGGTGGTGAAGAAAGGGAAAGAGCAAAGGTGGCTGCCCAAGGGGGAATTAGGGATGAAGGAAGCTGTCCTCTGAGGATAAAGGATATCAGAGCCTATCTACAGGCAGCAGGGAGAGAGGAGTTCATGAGCAAGGGGCTTCCAGGACACTGTAGGATGAGCCCAGGGCCAGGCTTTAAGGCACTCTCAGCTCTGCACACCTAGAAACCCTTCTTTCTCCCAAGCCAGTATCTGCTTGTCTGGAATCTTCCTCCTTCAGATCAGGGATGGTGTTAGGAAAAAGGCTTCTCTGATGCTACTGAGTGGCCTCTGCATTCCAAATCAGGATCTCATCTTTGTCTGTATTTGGCCTCCTTTTGTCCCATCAGCTAAAAACGTCTTTCCAAACATAGTCAGGCGTGAGTAAATCCTTCAAGCCAAAATGAGGGAAGCAAATGTGAAATACCTATGGAGATCATCCAGTTCCCAAGGCAGCATCTCCGAATGTGGAAATCTCTGCCCCAGTGGCGGAGCATTTACAGGGTGAGGTGCCAATCCATAAAACCCAATTCCCATGTGGGGGATGGCTCTTGGAGATCTTAGGGAAGGACACTGGAATATGCTCCATTACCTTGCTGTCTGTCTGACTTAGAGAGTTAGAGGCCTACACTTCATCTAGATTCTAAGCCAGGACAATTTGGTTTTACCTTGGGAAGGCCTCAAGGGCAACTTCAACTTCTAACCCACCAGCTTGGCCAACAAGCTCAGTCCTGAGCTGAATGAGGCTGGAGTCCTACGTGGCCACCAGGACCAGGCTGTAGCTGGTACCTGGGCCACTTAATGTCTGGACAATGGCCCTGCCAGTTTGGCAGCTGGCATCCCTAAGAGCCAGGCTGGAGGGAGACTTTGGCATACAGGACAGCAAGGGTCTTCTGGTTCTGAGAAGTTGCCCAAGGCTGTAGCTCCAAGAGTCCACCTCCACTGTGGGTACAAGTAACCCACGTGGCTGCTCCAGATACAGCCCCGTGGGTTACCCCCGATCTGCTGCCTTCCCTCTTACCCCACACATTTCTCACTCCCCCAGACTATCTTCATGAACTTACACTCCTGGCTCAAGGCCTTTGCCATCTTTCCCAGCCTCTCCCAGCTCTCCCAGCCTCTCCCAGCTCTCCTAGCCTCTCCCAACCTCTCCCAGGTTGCAGCCCTGCTGGGATGCTCACTCTCAACACTGCCCTGCTGGGTGTCCTAGAGTGCCCAAGGCCTCTGCCCCTGCCACCAGTAATTCTTGTGCCACTTCCCCCTTTTTGAGTCCATTGCTACAGCTGAGACCTGGGCTCAGCACTCTGAGAAAGGTTTGCTATTCCAAAGACAGCCAAAAACATTTCACAGGTATTTTCTAACTGAACCACCCTGAGAGGAAGCCATCACATTCTCCACAGCATGTGTGAGGAAACTGAAGACCTGCCTGGTTAAGTAGCTTGCCAGCAGTCACATAGCAAGTGTGTGAGAAAGCACAGCCACACATCCACACTCCAGGGTGTGTGTGTATGTGTGTGTGTGTGGTGTGTATTTTCCCTGAGATTCACAAGAGCTTCCATTCAAACTGTTCCAGATCTGTAATCACAGGCTTCTGGTAATCTTAATATCTTTCTTTTTAATAAAGTTGAATGTAGGTGAATTTAAGCTAAATTTATGAATAGAACTTCAACGAAAATGCTTAGAACAAGTAAAGCTCCAAAGACTCAGTGAGGCCTGTTATCTTTCCTAACCAATTCTACATTGTTCTCTTCACCATGTATCCTGACTGCCATCACCACCCTGTGTGAGAAAGGTGTGATTGCATCCATTGCACTGGTTCTGCAAATCACACGAGGGAGCAGGACAGACCTGAGGCCTGCACCCAAGGCAAAATGTGGGCCACACACTGGGCTCCATGCTTTCCGTGTTCTCTGCTTGCTTAATCCTGGAAGCAACCATGTAGGGTAAGCAGTGCCATCCTCTCCATTTTACAGAAGCATAGAGTGGTAAAATGACTGGCCCAAGATCACACAGCTTGTAAGTGGCAGAACTCCAATTGCAACCCAGGAAGTCTGGCTCCAGAGCCCATGCTCATCCCTGACATTCCGAATTTATTGTAAATCTTGATGTCTTTCAGCTTTAGCCAGAAAACATTCTCCTTTCCTTTTTCCTTGAGCCAGAAAAAATTCCTATAGCTTCCAGCAATGGCTCCAGCACAGTCCTCTACCACCTGCTAGGAAGAATCAGCCTTCATGTGTGGACAGTACCTCCACATGAAACCTACCTGCATCTCATTCACCCTCACATCAGCCCTATGTGTTTGGTGTTGTTTTTTTACTTGACTGAGCAGGAAGCTGAGGTTCAGAGAAGTTAAGCTACTTGCCCAAGGTCCTACAGCTCACAATCTGTGGATCAAGCCCTTGAACCCAGGCCCTCCTAGACTGGGCTCCAAAGCCGAGGATCTCTTCTCTTTACTCAGTGGGAGGTTTGAAATCAGAGCATTTAAAACACAGAAACAACAGACACTCTTTATAATAGAAGAGTACATGGAATAGAACCACACCAGTGTCACACGGACAGCCTCCTTATTTTCCCATAACCATATGCCTGTTGGTGAGGCTTGCTCTGCTTGGTTTAAAGCAGGGGTTACAAACGCAAATGCCCACAGGGGCCAGCAGGCAATGAAAGGAGTGGCACTGGCCTGGGGGATTTATAGTAATTGTAACAGCCATGGTAGGCCTGCTGCACACTGGAGAACGCACACCTGTCTTAGTGGAGGCAGCCTCGACTCTGCTCCAAGCCATTGTTGCCTTGCAGGGAGGCAGGACAGTCATTGCCAACTCATCCTACTTTTCAAAAGAAGACAGGAATCCATATTTTTATGTAGAATCTCTTAATTTTTAAATGATGGAAACTAATTCAAATGTTTCTTGGCACTATTTAAGCCAAACAAAACACATCGTATAGCTGGATTCAGCTTGAAGGGTGTCATTTTGTGACATCCAGTTTTAAAGTTTATAGAGGATATAAAGTCTAGTTCATTTAAAGAAAGTCCAATTTAGTGTAAAATTATCAATTTAGTGTAAAAATGTTCAAATGTTTCTCTAAACACAGTATAAGCCAAACAAAACACATCTGGTTGCTAGATTCAGCTAGCAGGGTGCCATTTTGTGATGTCCAGTGTTAAAGTTTATAGAGGATAGAAATGTAGTTCACTTAGAGAAAGGTCAGTTTAGTATAAAAAAATTATCTGTGGAAATCAAGACAAGCCTCTGATACACATGCCAATTTGCTAATGAGAGTATTTCTCCCAGCAGAACTTGCTCTGAAGGTACACTTGGTTCAACAGAAGAAAAAAAGCCCATTGTTGTCACCATCTCAAATCTGTTGGGTAGATACCACAGCCAAGTCTTGGCGTGACCCCCCTGTCTGCAGTTAGCAGAGCTGTCATGCTGTGTGGTGGCGGAATGATCTCCAGATTTCATGTTATGCCAGTGAAGCACAGGAAAAACTGGACTCCTAGAAACCACCACAAAGTAATCACTCTCCCATCTCTGCTTGGTACCTTTGGTAAGGACAAACCTCTATTTTCTCCTTCTCGTTTGGTTGGTGATCTGCTCCCAGTTGATATCATTCTAAAACCTGAGCTAAGGACGGTTCAACCCCCAAAGGCCCTGGATTAAATGTCTACATCCAAACACCCCTCCAGTGCTAACCATTCATGGCCCATCCCCAGAGTTCCCTGAGGGAAGGAGGTACTTACCAACAAGCCATTGGAGCCATGGACTGTGACGCAGCGAGAGAATGTATGATGGATGGAGAGGTCCCTGATGTATGTGGGTGGGTTATAGCCTCCCCTTTCATCTACATCACCGGCCAGGTGGAAGTGAATCGGGTACTGACCAATCAGCTGCTGTCCCATATGCTTCAGCTCCATGCCCTCCAGGTGTGCTGCCTTAAATCCCAGAGCAAACTAGGAGAGGAGAACCAAGAGTCAGAGGAGCCCATGAGATGCTTTGGAATTTCCCTGGCTAGTGCCCATATTCCGAAGATGCAGAGGCATTGTTCTTTGTCAGTCCCCACCCAATACTCAGTAAATCAAAGATATTCTCTGCAAATGGGTTAGAATGCCTGGCCCTTCTTATACTGTGGAAGACAGGCAAGGAGCTGCTAATGACAGAGGACATTGTGAGGAAATGGAGTGCTTGGAAATGAGATGTTCTGAAGGGCTATTCTATAGTTGGGGCTCACTTTGACCCTCCTTTCCTGTCCCCAAACCATCAAGTGTTAGGAGCAAAGGATAACTCTGAGATAATCTGGAGGAGTGGGCTAGCAAAAAGCATGCCCTGTGAGCATGGGGAATCCAGGTTACAGTGAACTATGGAGCAGCAAGAGCCTTTGCCATTGTCTCCCACCTAAGACCTTCTCCTAGCAGAGGGAAAGGGAACACCAACTCTGGAATCTTCATGAGCCCATGTTCTGGTGGCATGTGTGTGAGTAGAGGGGATGCCACACACTCGCTTCATGATATGCCTAGAGTCATTCCTTTCGGGCTCAAGAAAACCACTTGACCACACGGAATTCCTGCCCTCCAGGTGCTCACCATGAAAGCACAGTCTGAAAATGATTCCTGTCAAAGGTCAGGCTCAGCTAATCTCCACTAGAGAAGGATAATCTTGGCATGCTAACCATTTCTTCCAAAAATAGTTGTCAACTGGAGTGTCAACTCCAGCAGTGGCTGCCCTGGAGAGCTGTGTTGAGAATGACTCTGAAGGCTCGTTTGAGCTCAGTGGGAAAGAGTCCCCTGATCACTCAGGGACTGCTCTCAGGATTGGAAAGGGCGCTACAGCAGCTTGTGTAACATAGACCTGTTATTTCTGCTTTAGTTTCACTAATGAGTTTCTCAACTGAGGACAGTATTGTCGCCTCTGCCCCACCCCATACCCAGGAGACGACTGGATATATGAATGTTTTTCGTGGTGATAATGACTGGGGAGCACTGCTAGCATTGAATTAGTAGGGACCAGGGATGATAGAAATCCTATAATACAGGCCTATGTGACAAAGCACTATCTCACATAAAATGCCAGTAGGCCCCCATTGTGAATGCTGTAAGTTTCACTCCATTTGTCTCTTCAGTTCCACTACCAAAAAGTCTTATCCTTAAAGTGCATGATATTAGCTTTAAGAGAACTATCTTCGCAAAACTCCGAGGTAATATTATACTATCGGCATTGAAACCAATTACCACATGAAGAAATTTTGGGTATCTTAAGCAATACAATAGAAAGGCACTTTGCATTGTGATATAAAAGAAATTCCTCTTTGAGCTTAATACTAGGAAAACGTAAGCACCAATAAACTAGTACCATTTTCCTATATTGTGCGGTAAGAACCCTGCAGCTCACTATGTCTCTTCTTTGTCTTGACTCTAACCAGGAAATTCACAGGTAAATTTAATGCTACAACTTCTTCTTTTTGTTATTGTTGTTGTTTTTGTTTTGAGACAGAGTCTCACTCTGTCACCAGGCTAGAGTGCAGTGGCATGATCTCGGCTAACTGAACCTCTGCCTCCTGGGTTCAGGCAATTCTCCTGTCTCAGCCTCCAAGTAGCTGGGATTACAGGAGCCCGCCACCAGCCCAGATAATTTTTGTGTTTTTAGTAGAGATGGGGTTTCACCATGCTGGCCAGGCTGGTCTTGAACTCCTGACCTCAGGTGATCCACCCACCTCGGCTCCCCAAAGTGCTGGGATTACAGGTATGAGCCACCACGCCCAGCCAATGCTGCAACTTCTAGTTCCTCTCACCTGCTTATTGTTTTATCTATATGGTAATGGATCTATCGTAAATGTGACCTTTTGCAAGTTAAATGCTAGTTCTTTTAGGAAGTGATCAGGGCAATAATGAAGTAATAATGAAGTAGTCATGAAATAATGAAGACAAGGAATGAAGGTAGTGTTGAAACAGTGTGATGTGTACCACGTGGCAGAGAGCTGTTTGTTGTCGAGTTAACTCTGTCATCTCTCTTATTCCCAAATATTTGTAGGGGGAGCTGCACACCAATGGATAATACATAAGACTTCTCAAACTTCCAGAAGGCGCCCTCCCCTTGATCCCACCTCCTGTTCCCTGACCCTCATCCCTACCAAGAAGCCCCACCTAGAGGCTGACATCATGGGAACTCTCCTGGTTGGGTTGAAAGATTCTGCCAGACTGATACATACCTTGATGTGGCCCCCAAAGGTATCGAAGTCAAAGAAATTGCAGATGTGGTTTCTGTAGGGGTAGCATTTGTCCTCCATTTCCCCCATCACTATTATGTTCCGGCTCAGAAGCCCAACCTCTGCCCGCATGTCCACGCCATCTATCTCCTCCCCGATGTGCAGGTACATTGGTTTCCCTAGGGCAGAAAGGGAGGAAGGTAAACAACAGCAGGTACTGCATGCCCACTGAGTTCCGGGCCCATGCCAGGTGCTTCCATGGCTACTACTTACTCATCACCATGACCAGTGTGCACAGTGGTCTCATGTTACAGAGGGATGAAGGTCAGGGAGGTGAAGTCACACGCCTGCATGCAGAGCCAGATCTCACAGCTACACAGGCTTAGGTCTGAAGCCCTTAGCAGAAATGGCTAATTGTCCCCTAATATTTGTCTCCTCTTCTGCTTTTCAGTCCTAAACTCCCGCATTTTAGCTGGACATAGGGCCACCCAAGGGAATGACATTTCTCAGCCTCCTTGCAGTTAGGTGTGGCCGTAAGGTGTGAAAAGTGGTAAGTGCCACCTCCAGACTGCCCTCCTCTTGCTCTTTCCTGGAGGCTGTCAGGCTAGCCTCACCCATGCAGGTAAGAACCATGCCCCAAAGACGGCAGAGCAATGGGAGAGAAGAAACCTGGTCTCTGGATGATACCGTAGATTGCCAATGTTAGGGAGATAAAACAGATCCTCTCTGTCTTTAAAGCCCCTGCTTTAGAACAGTGCAAATTCATAATCTGTTAAAGCAGGCAAATCCCTATTCTGCTTACCTCAGCCTCATGTAGAGTATGTATCTACAGCCTGGGGCTCCAGAAAGAGCCAGATTGGAGCTTCTGCATCCACCACTGTGGCCTGGCTCTGGATGCCTCCAAGGTACCACGTGGAGCAGGGAAGAAGGGCCTCCATCTGACTCTATACTGAGCTCCTCACCATCCCCTGCCCTCCCTCTGGTGTTGGTGGAGAGGATGCTCTCCCCACTTGTGCACTGACCCCCCAGTCCCACCCCTTTCCATATCCTTAAGGCCCTGGACTCCCTGCACTAGTAATTTCATTTCTTCCTTCTTTTGGGCTCCTTATATTCTATCTTCAAACTTCTCTAGACCTTCCCATCCTTAAAAAACTAACAAACAAAAGACCTTTTCCAGTTCTGCTACCTCTCCTAGCAATTGCCAGTCTCTTTCCCGCTGTAATCAGAGCCCCTGAACTTGTGGTCTGCACCTAACCCCTCCGTTTTCTCTCCATTCTCTCCCTCCCATCACTCCACTCAATCTCTTGCCAAATGCAGTCTCTTCCTCTCCACTCTGTGCAGAAAATGCACCTCAAGAACGGTGCAGGGTGACAGGAATTCAAACTTTAGAACTTCCTTTGATTTATAGCCCCAAATTCTGCCTCCACAACAATCCCACAATCTTTTATGGAATAAAGAGATCTTAGGCCAGCTCTAAATTTGTTGGGCTCGTCACTGAGGTTGCTGACCTGGCTTATGGATACTTTCTCTTCCATTTGAGGATGCAGTTACAGACAGCAATAACCTCCCATGTGGATTCCCAGCCTGAACCACACCACCTACACCGCTTGGCTTTCACTGTGATCTTGACTGGAGCAATGGAGCACCGGCCTCAGCCCCCAGACACTGCCAGTGTTCACATATGAAGACCATGGTTATAATTAGCCCTGAGCAACACCCTCTACGGTGACATTGTCCTGCTGTCTCCTCCACAGGAAGAGCTGAGACCCTTGCCTGCCCCTTCACCCTGCACATATCCTGTGTGCCTGCAGTGTTTCTAGGGATGTTTACCGTTTTGGGATTCTGCAGATTCAGTGAGATTGTAGGTTTTTGTTTTTTTGTTTTTTTTTTTTTTTGAAGTATCTTATTCAAGATGTGAAATTGATGAACAGCAAATTTGAGAAAATATCTCCCATGGAGTTGGTATTAGTTTCCTATCCTGCAGTAACAAATTACCATAAACTTAGTGGCTTAAAACAACATAAATTGATTCTCTTATAGCCTTGGGAGTCACAAGTATGAAATGAGTCTAATGGGGATAAATCAAGGTGTCAACAGGACTGGTTCCTCATGAAGGCTCTAGAGGAGAATCTGCTCCTTGCCCTTTTCAGATTTGAGTGGCTGCCTGTGTTCTTTGGCTCATGACCCTTTCCACCCTCTTTAATGTGCATCACTCCAGTCTCTGCCCCTGTCATCACGTCACTCTCTTCTGATTCTGACCTTCCCATGTCCCTCTTTTAAGGACCCTTGTGATCACTTTTGGCCCACCCAGATAATCCAAGATAATCTCCCATCTCCAGAGCCTTAAT